CTCTGGAGACTCAGGGCGGCTTACAATGTGCTCAGCAGTAGCCTTCATCCTTTTGTATATTTATACAAAGTCAGCTTATTGCCCCCACAAACTGGGTCCTCAATTTACCTACCTTAGAAAGGATAAAAGGCTGGGTCAACCTTGAGCCTGGCGAGATTTGAACTTACTAATTGCAGACAGCTGGAGTTAAATTACAATGCATTAGTCTGCTGAGCTATCCAGGCTCCTTAATCTGTTATTACAGATTATTACAGTTATTACACACATGCGTGTGAAATTTCTCTAGACCTCCACGACGGAGGGAAGAGAGAAGCATAGCTCTGTATTTTCAGCTTTGTGGAGGTTGTGTTGATTGAGCCCTCTGGTCCACAGTTCCTCCTGTGTGAAGATTTATTCCAGCCTGAAGTTTCCGCAGGAAGATTTATTACCAACTCTCCACTGGTGGGAAAAGGCGGGGCATCCGGGGATGATTTTCCTACGTTGCTGAAAATTGACCTTACCCTTCCCAGAATGACAAGCAAGCGGAAGGGCTTTTCAGACAGGACTGCTGAGCAAAGCTCCAGACAAATTAGATCAGGAGGGAGGAAGGGCAGAGTTTAGGCTAGCAAGAGCCACTGAGGTGAGATAAAGGAGATTTTTGTGGTTTCACCCTTTCCAGATTGCTGCTCGGGACCCGTTGCCATCCCTCCGAGGGGTCCCCGAGAGTCCAATTGTCAACTCTGAAGCTATTCAAGGTGCTGGTTGTCACCTTTAAACCCTTCATGGCTTGGGACAAGGGGATCTGAGGGACCGTCTCTTGCCGGTCACATCCACCCAACCCACCAGAGCAGGGAGGCAGGGATGTTGCGGGTCCCATCCCGGTGGGAGATATACCTGGTGGGACCCAGAAGTAGGGCCTTCTCTGTGGTGGCTCCCTCTCTCTGGAACATCATCACCTCAGAGATTAGAATGGCCCCCACCCTAACACCCTTCCAGAAGGCGCTGAAGTTCTGGTTCTGCCAGCGGGCCTGGGGAACCCACAGCGGGATGGAGCCCATTAAATGTCTCGTGTGATGTGTTGTTGCCGGGGCAGGGGTTGGGAGTTGTGGGGTGATTTTGTTATAATGTAGCATATTAATTTATTTGATTCTTTTTGTTAGTTTTTATTGTTTTAAATGTGGTCTTTTATTCTGTAAGCTGCCTTGAGTTGCCATGGGCGAATAGGCGGTGTTGTGACCCAGGCCCAAGTAGATAGTATTAGACGCAAACAGTTCCAAAACAAACAGACTCTATTAGAACAGCTGAGAATTAACTCATTCTCAGCGTAGTCCAAACTAAATAAAAAAAAATTCTTCATAACACAAATTCTTCAGTCTAATCACCAACCTTGGTATAATTAGGCAAACTGCCAAAGGCTTTTCTTGGCAAAAGTTCAGAAGCAGAAGACGCCGACCAGAGATAAGTGCAGCAAGACATGAACAAGTCTATCAACGTTGTTTTCCGACAAAAAGCCCAAGAGTCGTTGCTAGTCTTTTAAGCCTTATGGGAGGGGCCAATCATCTCCTGGCCTTACTCCCGAGTCGTCCTCTTTGCTTTAGCTGCTCTTGGTATTCTGGCAGCTCTTCTCATGCGTGCACTAGGAACAGGCTCCTCCTGTTCCTCTGCGTTCCTCTGCCTCTCTACTGTCAGCCTCTGGAGCCTCTGGAGTCCACACATCACTCCCCGATGGCCCTAGCCCCATCTCTGCCTCTGACCCATAGCCTCATCCGGCCTTCCCCAGCTTCCAGTACTGGCCCCTGTTCTTCCTCAGCCTCCTCACTGTCCGACTCCACTGCCAACTCCGCAGGCTGCTGGTGGACCACAACAGGCGGCAATATAAATTCAATAAATAAATAAATAAATAAATAAAAACAATTTGAAAGCAAGTGGTAACGTTTACAAACCATCAGCATTGACATGATCCCCATCGGTCAATTGCAAAAGGTGGCTTTACTTGGAAAAGCATGCATCCGGAGACAAGACCTTTAACACCAGCAAACATTCACGTCTGCCTTGGGAAGGACTGGACGGGTTGATAAAAAGGCTCTAAAAATCTGTCCAGCTGTGACACAAACCATAATAATAATAAACAGTGGACCACTTGCCAGAAGATCGCCCCAACTGACTACAAGCAACGGCGTGACAAAGTAGCAACGATTGTGCATTGGAAGATCTGCAAGAAATATTATTTGCCTGCAAGCAAGAACTGGTGGGATCATAAAATAGAGAAAGTCGTAGAAAATGAAGACGTTAAATTGCTCTGAGACTGTTTTGCCCCAGCTACGGACCCCAAAGAACGCAGCACACACAAAGTCCGTACAAACCTTAGTTTACTAATTAAGGACTACTAAGGAGCTTTCTTAGTAGTTGTTTGAACACAAGTACAATAAATTAGTCTTTTCTGAACAAGGGCTGTTCATTTAACTTCATTAACAGCCAACAAGAATCCAAAGAATAATAACTCAATTCTGAGGCACAGTATTTCAGATAACCGTAATCTTACTGTGGTTGGCAGAATGCCCAGAAGCAATTTGCAGGACAACTGACAAGAGAGAAGCAAGAGCTGAATCAAACGTTTCTGGAATCAAGACGCGAAGGAATATGAACAAAGTTGTTTCCTGCAAATTGCCTCAGTCGTCGTCCTTCCTTAAATAGGCTAGGGGAGTGGCCAATTAGCCCCAAGCCTTACTCTCGAGGAGACCTCCTCCTGAGGAGCCACTCCTGCCTTTTAACAGCTCTGCGCACTCGTGCATCGAGAAGAGGCTCCTCCTCCTCTTCCTCTTCACTTATGGGAGCTTCTGGAGATTCTGAAGGCCCTGGCTGAATCCCCGCCTCTGGCATCACATCTTCTCCAGCCTCCTCACTGTCTGACTCGAGCGCCAGCTGCATAGGCTGCTGGCGCAGTACCACACCAGTCTCCTCGCTGTCAGAATCAGCAACTAACTGCACAGGCCACTGACGGGCTACAACAGGGACTTTAGAATTCAAACAGCAGGCACCTGACACGTAACACACGGAGTAGGATTCGTATCTTAATACCATTTTTTTTTGAAAATGGAGATTAAAAATGAAACCAGAACTTTTCCTTATGGGTTTAATGGAAAAAGAGCTAGAGAAAAAAATTGGAACTTTGTCACTATATATGTTGACAGCAGCAAGACTCTTGTATGCACAAAGATGGAAGGAGACTTCGATTCCCACCATGAACGAATGGTTGCAGAAGTTGATGGAGTTGGCTGAAATGGCAAAACTGACCACTTTGATTAAAGAAAAGAATATAAGTACTTTTGTTTCCACATGGAGACCGCTTCTGAACTTCTGTTGTGACCTAGGCTTCCTGAGTCAGTAAAACACACGGGCAGTCCCAAAAACCACTTTTATTGCAACAGCTGTGAATTCTGTTCATTCACAGATGAGTCCCAAATAGTTGTAAAGAGTCCTTCAGGATAAGGCTGATAATCACCCACTTTTATCTCCCTTGACACGCTGCCAAAGACCTAATTGGCAAAGTCACACAGAGTCCAGAATCAAACAAAGCTTCAGGCTTTAAACCAACCAGAATGAACAAAGTTGCTTCCTGCAAAGGCTCATGTCCCATTAGCTTCTCTTTTAAGCCTTATGGGAGGGGCCAATCATCTCCAGGCCTTACTCCTGAGTCGTCCCTTTTGTTTTAACTGTTCTTGCCTTGTGGCAGCTCTGCGCATGCAGGCGTCCCCTGTTCCTCTGCCTCGCTGAGGTCCGACTCTGGAGGCTCCAGAGGCAGCACGTACCTCCCAGATGGCCCTTTCTCTGCCTCTGATACAGAGCCCTCATCCGAGCCTTTCCCAGACTCCAGGACTGGCCCATGTTCCTCCCCAGACTCCTCACTGTCCGACTCTGCTGCCAGCTCCACAGGCTGCTGGTGGACCACAACAACTTCGTGCTTGATATGGAGAAGAATGAAACTGTGATTTTGGGTTTAACAGATTGGACTGACAGATCTTTATAGCAATGGCTTGCTTATATTATTAGGAAAAAGGAAAAAGTGATGATTTAATGTTGATGCCTTATTTTACAGTAACAGAGAAAGTCGGAAGTCAATGCTTCTCTTTCTTTCTTTCTTTTCTTTCTTTCTTTCTTTCTTTTCTTTCTTTCTTTCTATCTTATCTTATCTTATCTTATCTTATCTTATCTTATCATCTTATCTTATCTTATCTATCTTATCTTATCTTATCTTATCTTTCCTCACTTCTCCTTCCCCTTCCCTTCCCCATTCCTTTCCTATTTACTTTGTACTATGTCTTTTATATTACTTTATAACTCAATAAATAAAGATTTGTTGACAAAAAAGACCAAAAAGGCTGGATAGTGGATGTGGCAGAATAGAAGAGAAAGAACTACAGAAGATCACAAAATAGAAAATAGAAGTAAAACAACTGTGACAAAAGAAAGCAAAGCGATCACCAATAGTCATAGGCTCCTTGGGTCCCAAAACATCTGGAGCATCACTGGAACACCCTTAGCCCTGACAGTCAATTGCAAAAGGCAACTTTACTTGGAAAAGCTAACATCTGGAGACCTTTAACACCATCAAACATTCACATCTGCTCATCCCAGGTCCTTGGAAAGGACTCGATAGGTGGATAAAAATGTCAAATTCAGTCTGAACTCTGACTCTACGACGAACCGTAATAATAGAGCCCCATTTGAACACCATTGGAGTTGACAAAATCCCCATCGGTCAATTGCAGAAGGCAGCTTTAGCTGGAACAGCTTACATCCGACCACAATCTTTAACACCATCAAAGGACATAGCAATATTAATCTTTCAGCACTTGACTTTGGTACGGGAAATATTGAAATGATGTGCATAGCTTGGGGAATATGATGGTCTTGGACCCCTCTAGTGTCGTCCTTGCTCTCCCTTGAACCTCTAAGATCCCTCTCGCCTTCTTCACCTGTTGGAATCCTGGGGTTTATCACATGCTGGAGCCACCTCTTACCTTCCCATCGGTGGTTACAGCCGCAAAGACCGTGGAGGAATAAGGCGCCCAAGCCACGTCACCAACTGCAGAATTCAGGTCGTAGATAAACATGGGTGTCCTGCAAACAGAAGATCCAACAGGTCAGGTGGAGCTGCAGGATTTTCTCCTGCCCAGGGAGGGGATAGCTTCTACAGGGCCAAGGGAGGTCCAAATAAGCATGGCCCTGGCAGAAAACTAGATCAGGCACCCAAGGAAAGCTGGTTGTAGAGAGAAAGCCAAAAGCCAGAAAGAAAAGCAGGAAAGTTCAACTCAGCAGATGTTTTCCAGAAGCTAAAGCCATCAAGAAGCACCACTGAGAAGTTTCCTAAAAGGAGAACAAGCGGTCCCCAAAAATCAAGATCACATGAGGTCCTAATACCACTTTATAAAGCCTTAGTAAGGCCACACCTAGAGTACTGCATCCAGTTTTGGTCACCACACTATAAAAAAAGATGTTGAAACTCTAGAAAGAGTGCAGAGAAGAGCAACCAGGATGATGAGGGGACTGGAGGCTAAAACATACGATGTACGGTTGCAGGAACTGGGCCTGGCTAGTCTAGAGAAGAGAAGGACCAGGGGAGACAGGATAGCAGCTTCTAATATTTGAGAGGCTGTCACAGAGAGGAGGGGGGTCAAGCTATTTTCCAAAGCACCCGAAGGCCAGACAAGGAATAATAGATTGAAGCTGATCAAGGAGAGATTCAACCTGGAAATAAGGAGAATTTTTCTGACGGTGAGAACAATCAACCCATGGAACAGAAGTTGCCTCCGGAAGTTGTGGGGGCTTCATCACTGGAGGCTTTCAAGAAGAGACTGGGCTGCCCTCTGTCAGAAATGGTGTAGGGTCTCCTACTTGAGCGGGGGGTTGGACTAGATGACCTACAAGGCAGGGGTGAAATGCTCCCAGTTTGGACCTGATCGCCCAATTTGGTAGCGATGGAGGCGGGTGGTTCAGAGAACCGGTAGCAAAAATCCCCTGCCCCCCCCCACATGTCCAGCTGAGCCGCATAATCATCAGAGGCTTTTTTTTTTACTTTTAAAAGCATTTTTTCTACCACCTCTTCGGCCGAAAAAATGCTTTTAAAGTAAAAAAAAAAAGCGTCTGATGATCGGGCAGCTCAGCTGGGATTGTCAAAGGCTTATAAAAGCATTTTTTCTACAACCTCTTCAGAGGTTGTAGAAAACATGTTTCAAAAGGCTCTGACGATCCCAGCTGAGTTGCCTGATTGGCAGAGGCTTTTTTTCTTTTAAATGCCTCTGACGATCAGGGAACTCAGCTTGGATTGTCAGAGGCATTTAAAACAACTCTGTTATTCTGTTATAGTCTGTTATATTCTTTGAGTCCCAGCTGATCGGCTAGAAGGAAAAAAATCAGGGCTCAGTTGACAAAGAAGAGAAAAAAAAAAACAAGACACCGTGGCTTTAAATTGAGAAGCCTAGAAGTCTCCCAACTGATCGGCTAGAACCGATCCGCTCCTTGTAAACCGCTTGGTGTGGTAGATTGGCAATTGAGGCCAAGGTGCCTGAAAGCGGTTTCCGATGCTCTCAGTGGTGGCAGAGCGGCAAAAAACTGTTTAAACCAGGGATGAAATGCTCACAGTTCGAACTGGATCGCCCGATCCAGTAGCGATGGAGGCGGATGGTTCGGAGAACCAGTAGCAAAAATCCCTGCCTCCCCCCATGCCCAGCTGAGCCGCACAATCATCAGAGGCTTTTTTTTACTTTTAAAAGCAGTTTTTCTACAACCTCTTCGGGCGAAGAAATGCTTTTAAAAGTAAAAAAAAAAAAGCCTCTGATGATCACAGGGCTAAGCTGGGATCATCAAAGGCTTTTAAAAGGAAAAAAACCTTTTTTTCTTTTAAATGCCTCTGACGATCCCAGCTGAGTTGCCTGATCGGCAGAGACTTTTTTTTCTTTTAAATGCCTCTAACGATCAGGCAACTCAGCTGGGATCGTCAGAGCCTTTTGAAAGCATTTTTTAACAACCTCTTCGCCGAAGAGGTTGTTAAAAAAATGGTTTTAAAAGTAAAAAAAAAAAAAAGAATTGGCCACGCCCACCCAGTCACATTACCCTACCACCACCAAGCCACACCCACAAAACCAGTAATAACAAATTTTAGATTTCACCACTGGTTTAAACTCTTGCCGCGGCGCTTCAAAGGGCCGCCCTACAGCTGATCAGCGGTAAAAGGCCGTGTGGTGGTAGACCGGAACGCTCCAAAAAACAAATGGGTAGACCGGTACGGCTTCTGCAAGCACTTAAAAGCCTGGTAGACCAGTACTCTGCTAAATCCTAAAGAATTGCTTGTCACATGACCATCAAGCCACGTCCACAAAATAAGCCACGCCCACAGAACCGGTAGTAAAAAAATTTAGAGCCCACCCCCGGGCTGGAGGCACCTACTTGATGGTGTGATCCCAGATCTTCACGGTCCAGTCCGAGCTGCAGGAAATGAAGACCTTGGGGTGGAAGGGATTCCAGCTCACGGCGTCCACCGCCATGTGGTGAGCGTGGAAGATGTCCAGGAACTGACTCGAGTAGGTCTTGGAGCACTGCAAAGTCACAGGAAGGCGATTATCATTATCATTTGCGTACGGCAGAGGTCTTCAAACTTGGCAACTTTAAGGCTTGTTTAGTTTAGTTTAGTTTAGTTTAGTTTAGTTTAGTTGTATACCGCCCTACTCCCGAAGGACTCAGGGCGGTGAACAGCCAAATAATAAAATACATAGATACAAAAAATTTAAAAACCAGATAAAATCAAATTAAATCATTTTGGCCCAGACAGATTAAAACACCCCAATAATTTAAAAACAGATTAAAATTTACATATTTAAAAAAGGGAAGAGATTAGGCCAGGCCCGCCTGGTGAAATAGTAAGGTCTTTAGAGCGCGGCGGAAGGTGCGCAGATCCGGGATCCTCCGTATCTCCGGGGGGAGCTCATTCCAGATGGTGGGTGCCCCCACAGAGAAGGCCCTCCCCCTGGGGGCTGCCAGTCGACACTGTTTGGCTGACGGCACCCGGAGGAGCCCCTCTCTATGGGAGCGTACTGGCCAGTGGGAGGCTATTGGTGGTAGCAGGCGGTCCCGTAGATAACCAGGTCCTAAGCCATGGAGCGCTTTAAAGGTGGTAACCAAAACCTTGAAGCGCACCCGGAAGACCACCGGGAGCCAGTGCAGCTCGCGCAGGAGAGGTGTTACATGGGAGCGCCATGTCGCTCCCATTACCACCCGCGCGGCCGCACTCTGTGCCAGTTGGAGCCTCCGGGTGCTCCTCAAGGGGAGCCCCATGTAGAGAGCATTGCAATAGTCCAGGCGGGAGGTGACGAGGGCATGAGTGACCGTGCGTAACGAGCTGGCTGGAGAATTCTGGGAGTTGAAGTCCACAAGCCTTAAAGCTGCCAAGTTTGAAGACCTCTGTCGTACGGCATCATCTCTCTGTGAGGCCAAAGACAGATGATGCCGTACGGCAGAGGTCTTCAAACTTGGCAGCTTTAAGGCTTGTGGACTTCAACTCCCAGAATTGTCTTTGGCCTCACAGAGAGCTCTCGGCTTACGCACACAATTGAGCCCAACATTTCCACGGCTAAACAAGGCAGTTGTTAAGTGAATTCTGCCCCGTGATAGGGTCTTTTTTGCCATGGCTGTTAAGGATGTCGCTACAGTTGTTAAGCCAATCACGCGGTCGATAAGCGAATCTGGCTTCCCGCGTTGACTGTGTTTGCCAGGCAAGCAACCAAAGTTTCGTCCCGTAATTGTGGGGATGTTGCAACGGTCAAAAAAGTGAGGACTGTAAAATTTGAAGGGTCGTTAAACAAGGGATTGTAAATTGAGGTATACCTGTAATAATTATTATTTACTTTATTTATTAAACATGAAACTCAGTCAACTGAACATTTTAAAATGTATCATAAATACCATTGACTGGAGCTAATGGTTGATGGTTAATTGTTTTAAAAGTTGTTAAGGATATTGTTGTTGTGTTACCAACCAGCACAGTGTAGAGCACAGAGAAACGTTGCTGAGAGCAATGAATAAGAGATGTGCAAACTGGTTTATCAAAAGTTTACTTTATAGTGAAAAAACAATCTCATAGTCTTTAAATCAATCCACGTCTTTGCCAGTTAAATCAATCCAGTGATACAAAAATCTTCTACCACACAAACAGTAGTTGGTTAGAATAACAAACTCACTCTGGTAACAAACCACGATGGTAGCAGATCCATCCAACGATGATAGCACAATGATAGCAACTCCACACACAATGGTAGCATATCATCAACTGAATACGTTACAGTACCTTTCTTAAATACGTTTACAACAGTGATTATCTAATTACAGAATGACTCAGCCTTACAATGAATCAGCAGTAAAGCCTTAAAGTCACACAATACATATTCATATTAAAGTTACAGAACCCATATATTGCCTGGACAACTTGTTAGGCTTGAACCATATCCTAACAAAAGTTTTAAAAAATAAAAAGTTGGGCACGCCAACCCAGTCACATGACCCCCACCACCACCAAGCCACGCTCACAGAACCGGTAGTAACAAATTTTACATTTTACCACTGGGCCAAGGCCACCCATCTGGCTTTCCTGGCTAAGGCAGGATTAGAACTCAGGGTCTCCTGGGGATGGTCCAAAGTCCCCCAGCCGGCTTTCATGCCTAAGGTGGAACTAGAACTCACCGTCTCCTGGTTTCTAGGCCAGGAAGCACCAAGGTGGCTCTTATTTATTTGATTTCCTCCAAGAGTTCAAGGCAGCATATAGGAGAAAGACCTTCTCCATAATATTACTGTAATGTTGAGAGCCGGTTTTTGAAAAGGAAGGGTGTGCTTTGAACCCAAGCCAGCCAGTGAATTTCTGTGGCTAAAAGTAGTCTTGAACCACACTCACATTCCTTCTAATCTATCACTTACCTAAAATAGCATTCAGCCAAACTGCAAAATCATTGCAGCCGCACTAAATCCTACTAATGGCACATATACAATCTCCAGCAGGGGTTGAAAAAAAGAAAAAAACAACTCATTGGTCCTCATTAAAATCTCCGTAGCATCATCATTAAACTATTTTGCAGATCAAAGAACCGAGGCTCAGAGAAATTATTCCACATGGGTACTAGATTTGTCCCACTGCCCTCCAAGGTACTGAAGAAGGAAATAGCAGGATTCCAGGATTTGAGGGGCTGCCACAAGGAAGAGGGGGTCAAATTATTCTCCAAAGCACCTGAAGGCAGGACAAGAAGCAATGGGTGGAAACTAATCAAGGAGAGAAGCAATTTAGAACTAAGGAGAAACTTCCTGACAGTGAGGACAATTAACTGGTGGAACAGCTTGCCACCAGAAGTTATGGGTGCTTAATCACTGGAGGCTTTTAAGATGAGATTGGACAGCCATTTACCCAGAATGGTATTATAGGGTCTCCTGCTTGAGTAGGGAGTTGGACTAGAAGACCTCCAAGGTCCCTTCCAACTCTGTTATTTTTTTTTTTTAATTTGATTTATATGCCGTCCTTCTCCGGAGACTCAGGGCAGCTTACAATGCGTTAAGCAATAGCCTTCATACTTTTGTATATTTATACAAAGTCAGCTTATTGCCCCCACAAACTGGGTCCTCATTTCACCTACTTTAGAAAGGATGGAAGGCTGAGTCAACCTTGAGCCTGGCGAGATTCGAACCAGCAGTAATTGCAGGCAGCTGTGTTAATAACAGGGTGCTTAGACCACTGTACTACCAAGGCTCTATTCTATTCTATTCTATTCTATTCTATTCTATTCTATTCTATTCCATATTTCTATTCCATTCCACTCCACTCCACTCCACTCCACTCCACTCCACTCCACTCCACTCTACTAGATTCCATCCCATCCCATTCTATTCCATATTTCTATTCTATTCCATATTTCTATTCTATTCTATTCTATTCTATTCTATTCTATTCTATTCTATTCTATTCTATTCTATTCTATTCTATTCTATTCTATTCTATTCAACTCAACTCAACTCAACTCAACTCAACTCAACTCTATAGTTGTTGGTGCTTCATCACTGGAGGTTTTTAAGAGGAGACTGGGCAGCCACTTGTCTGAAGTGGTACAGGTTCTCCTGTTTGAGCAAAGGGCTGGACTAGAAGACCTCCAAGGTCCCTTCCAGCTCTATTCTACTGAACCCTTTGGAATGGACTCCGCAGTGCTATTTGTAATATACAAGCAAATAAAATAATACCCAGGGTTGCCTCAGATGTTCAGGTGGCAGATCCTGGCTGTGAGCAAATTTGTTTCCTAGCTTAAGCTGGCAGCCCAGCTGAGTCTGATCTTGCCAAGGATTATTACGATACAAAAAAAGATTCTGAGGCTCTAGAGAAAGCAGCCACCACGGTGAGAAGAGCTCTGGAGGCTACACGATACGATGAACGGTTGCAGGAACTGGGTATATCTACCCTCACAAAGAGAAGGCTTTTGGGGAGATCTGATAGCATCCTTCAAGGGTTTTCATATGGAAGTGGGGGTTGACTTATTCTCCAAAGCACCTGAGGGCAGGAGAAGAAACAAGGGAGGGAAACTCATCAAGGAGAGAAGCAACCTAGAACTAAGGAGAAGTTTCTTGACACTGAGGACAATTCACCAGTGGAACAGCTTGCCACCAGAAGTAGTGAATGCTCCATCACTGGATTTTTTTAAGAAGAGTTTGGATAATCATTTGTCTGAAATGGTATACGGCCATGATGGTTAACCTATGGCACGGGTGCCACAGGTGACACATGGAGCCATATCTGTGGGCACATGAGCGTTGCCTTAACTCAGCTCCAGTGTGCATGTGCGCATCGGCCAGCTGATTTTTGGGCCTTTCGGGCCCACTGGAAGTTGGGAAATGGGCCATTTCCGGCCTCCAGAGAGCCTCTGGGTGGGTGGGGAAGGCTGTTTTCATCCTCCCCAGGCTCCAAAGAAGCCTCTGGAGTCTGGGGAGGATGAAAAACAGGCCTAACGGGCCCACCATTAACCTTTTTGCCATCATGTGCCAAAAGCGGTGGTAGCACGGGGCGGGGGGGTCGCGTGCGGATGCGCAGGGTGTTTGGGGGGCATTGAATTATGGGCGGATGGGAACTAATGAAGGAGAGAAACAACCTGGAACTAAGGAGAAATTTCCTGACCCTGAGAACAATTAATCCTTGGAACGACTTGCCTCCAGAAGTCCATCACTGGAGCTTTTCAAGAAGAGACCAGACAGCCATTTGTCCAGGATAGGATGAGAACTACTGCCTTGGGCAGGGAGGTTGGGCTAGATGACCTCCAAGGTCCCTTCCAGCCCTAGGATTTTGTGATTCTAACCAGATCCAGCTGGGATTCCTGTAACCTTGCCTTGAAAAGTGGTTTGAGATGTCTATGGAGATTCTCCGTCATCCAGGTCATGGTTGTCCCAAAGGAGCTTTTTCAGGAGGCAACTGGACTTTCTGGTTTTTCTTGGAATGCGTTTCGCTTCTCCTCCACGAAGCTTCTTCAGCTCTGACGGGATGGTGGGGAAAGGAAGGATTTATGCTCCTTGCAGACAGCTG